AAAAAACAACAGCAAGAACAAAACAAAAACAAAAACAAAAACATTGAACATCTTTTGTCAATAGTGGGACTGGATTTACAACTAAGCTAGATAGTAATTGAGGATCCTAATTTGTGTTGTGACTCTCAGCTCACAAAAGTCACTGTTGAAAATCCAAAGCTAAGATCACTAAACTTTCCACCTTGGGCTACTGACATCAGCCGGCAGGCAAACCAAGAGAAGAGACCTCTTGATTGATTTGTCTAATGCAGCTTGTTTTGAGCCCAGTAGTAGACTCTATTTTCTGCCCTGTCAGTAAAATACACCCTTTGGGTTAATGCCCTGCACAGCTGACACACCATTTGCACTGATTTGTCTGCCAAAGGACAACTCAGTCCTTTGTGGAGGGGACGAGTTTAATGTCCAAAAAATGGCAGATAATAAGTAGACATTGTTTCTAATTGTTTTTCTGGGCAATTCATCTTTTGTGCACTTTATACATGTTCATTCTTCCTTGAGGCAAAAATCCCTTTTTAAAAAAAATTTAAATGTACTGGTTTATTTTTCTGGTGACAGTTTGATGCTAAAAAAATTCTGAATTTTACATTTTTCAAAAGGGTTGGTAGAGATACAGAGTTTTATATATTTTGTCCATGAAATCCCATCCAATTCCCCATGTTGTTTCAGTTTTTAACCTTTCAAAGGAGTTCATCTAACCAAATAGGCTATCTAGAGCCAGCACAAGATTGGTGTTAGGATTTGAGTAAACAAAGCTCTTTCCACTGCCATAGATTCCTACTGCACAGGTGAGCAGGGGAGGCAGTCAGAAGCCTGTAGATCGGGCAACATCACCTTAACTGCATGGGCACTCTTAGAATAGGTTAATTGAGTCATCAGTGATGCTAGAGGTTAGGGCTCTTGGTAGTTGCTATGATCGGAGAGCATCTTCAAGGTCAACCCACCATTTTCCACTGACACACAGTTTCCAACATCTGTCTTTGGTTCTTACCTCTTTGGCTCATAACGTGTATAGTCCCTCACTGGAAGCCCTTCCTTCTTCCATCCTGTGAGGGCCTTTTGTGGTTTCAAGGCTCTCACTCACTTCTGTCTTAGAGTTTCTCCAAAACCTGTGTCCCGTAGTACAATCCAGCATGTCTTCTCTCTAACTTGATGGTAAATTTTTTGAAATCAAAGACTGTTATTTATTACAGAATTTTTGAACTAGAAGGAATATTCTGTGGTAAAGAAAACTGGACCTATGTAATAATACAACTACACTTTAGTGAAGTGTAAAGACCTGTACAAAGTCACATGAAAATAGTAGTGGATCAAGGCAGATGGCCCACATGGAATTGAGCCACGATGTGCTCATTTTATAGTGGATCATTTTATTTAAGCCTTGCCTGACTTCACAGTTTGAAGGACTGATTTTAACGCTAAGTGTCTAGGTCATACCAAAAGATAATCAAGTTATTCCTCTTGAAATAGTGAAAGTGTAAAACCTGAGCTTGAGTTCATAAACAAACTAGAAGATTAATGAAAAGAAAAAGTTTCTATAACTGGAAGAAAAGACACCAGTGAGTAGCAGAGTACCTATTTCTGTATTTCTATTACTGTATTAGTACCTAAAACTGTATTTCAAGTATCAGGATTAGAGTGTACTGCTAGATCAAGTATGAGGACTTTTACTTTGTTTTTGTGGGGGAAGATATGAGGGCAAACCAATCTGAAGACCATGTGAGAGCAGAAAACAGAATGAACATGGACTGGGTGACTATGATGGTTTCCAAGGTGTAAATGATTTTATATGAAGCTAATTGGATTTACTCTCCTACCTCATGAATAATAGACATTTTCAGGCTCCTTACAACTGTTTTATCCAATTGCATATTTTCTTTCTTATGATCTACGTGCCTGAATTCTGTTCTGATTCAGTACTGACTTATGTTCAGGCTGAAAGACAGAAGTTGCATTTGATTCCCACGTAAAATTATGGATTGAGTTATTTAAACGCAGATTGGATGGCTTCGCAAACAGACATTCGAGCTTTAACTATTAAATTAAAATTTTTAATATTTATTTTACTTTTGAGAAAGAGAGACAGATCGTGAGAGGGGGAAGGGCAGAGAAAGAGGGAGACACAGAATCTGAAAGAGGCTTCAGGCTCTGAGCTGTCAGCACAAAGCATGATGCAGGGCTGAAACTCATGAACTAGGATCATGACCTGAGTGGAAGTCGGATGCTTAACCAACTGAACCACTCAGGTACCCCTAGCTTTAGCTATTAAATTAAAGCTCTCCTGAATGCCTATAGCCCTATATTCTGGGGTACACAAAGAACTCTGCTGTTTCTGTTGAGCAGAACAAGACACCCATAAATACATATATTTGAAATCTTGACAGCTGTTTGTGGTCATGTAAAATGTTGTTTGAGAATCTTTTATCAAATCATTCAGTAGATCCACATCCACAGACATATGCAGAAATCTAATATCAGTGACTATTTATAGAAATGATCCTTTAGAAAATGCTTGCTCAGCATTGGGTGGAGGAGAGAAGGCACCTGAGAGAATGTTTGGTTTCCAGCAGCCGTTCTGCCTTTAAACCATTATCTGACCCTAGACAAGTAATTTGCTTCATCTGTAATGACTTCTGAAGGTTTCACCAATTCTAGAAAACTCTACTTTTGTAAAATAGGAGATTATTTTTTCCCTCCTTCTTATGCTTAATATAAGAGAGAAAACATTTCTACAAATGGGGACAGAAAAACTATGCATTTCTGGAAACCCCTGAAAATGTGCACCTGGAATTGGTCTGGAATCAACCACCTCATCTTTTAAAATACAGTTTGAATTAAGTTTCAGACCATTTGATCAGAAGTCCCCCCCACCTTTTTTCTTTTTGCATTTTGTGACATTCCTTAATAGCAAGTTGTCATAGTCCTCCCCTAGCAAAATTTTTACAAAAGAACCGTATCCTAAGGGATTAGAATAAGTGAGAGCTTTTCTTAGCGCTACCTGAGAACTGACTCTATTTTTCATCCTTCTGGAAGCTGCATTTGACAGCTAATGGATCTGTTTTGTTCTAAAACTACCATCTGCTCCCTGGTACTTTAAAAGGTTTCTATCATCATCATTATGTGTGAGATGTATAAATATATATTCAGAATTATTCATTTCTAAGAAAAAGGCAAAAACAATGACACTTTGTCTTCAAAGATGTAATATTTAAATGAATGCGTCCGCGTTTAAATTATTAGCAAACAGATTTGATATGTCCGCCAAATCTTTGTCATTGCACACATCTGATATCGCTGAAAACTGGAAGAACATTTTATTGCAATGGAATTGCAGGCGATGCTGGAGGTGATAGTACCAGATAGAGCTTCCGAACACAGGTCTGCCGATTCTGGGCGCTGCTACGCAGCAGCTGTGTACCATCTTCTTAGGGGTGTGTCTCTGTGACTCTGGTCTCTTTTCTAGTTAGAGGCACACTAGAACCACCTTGGTACCTGCCGGCATTTGAATCCCAGGTTCTGATTCAACTCCATGCCTTAACCCACCCAACTTTTGGTTCTACCCTTTCTTCAACCCCATGATCCAGCTACATCTCTGATAATGGCCATGCTAGTTCAAACTGAGGTTTTGTCATTTTAAGCCAAAAAAGATTCCTGAATGATGTGTAAAATGTCAAAATGGGGGTGCCTGGTGCAGTTGGTTGAGCATCTGATTTTTGAGCATCAGGTCATGATCTCGCAGTTTGTGAGTTCAAGTCCCGCTTGAACAGGCTTTGAATTGGGCTTGAATTGGGCTCGTTGCTATCAGCACAGAGCCTGCTTCAGATCCCATGTCCCCTCCTCTCTCTCTGCCCCTCCCCTGCTTGCACTCTCTCAAAGATAAATAAACAAGTAAAAAATTAGATAAAATAAGATATCGAAACAGAATGGCCCTTTGCTCTAGTTTATTTCTCTCTAGTTAACTTGGTAAACTAGTCCATGGTATGAGTTCACTAGGTGCCAACAATGTCGTATCCCTCTCAGGCAACAGAGATGCCTCTTAAACTTGACCTCAGGAAGCACTTGCCTTCACCTGGGGAACTAAGGGGAGTCAGCACTAAGGATGTTTGGGTCGTGGCGAGAATACATTCGATTGTTCTTCAGGGAAGTTGGATTATGAATAATACGTGGTACAACTTTAAAGCAGGACCATCCTGGTGAAAAGAGAATTTGTTTTCCTCTTTCTGTAAGCCGACAGAATCCTGGTCTTGTGGGAGAGGAGCTCAGGGAACCAGCTGGGCAGCAGGCGCCACAGACAAGAAGATGCGAGCTGAGCCTGAGGAGAGAGTTAAAGGGAATCGTCAATGTGTGCAGGCCTTGGGCATTGCTGCTGGAATTGGAATCGAAAGGGACCCACGGGGCGATGATGATGGGGAGGATTCCAGAGGAAGCTCTGGCCTGTGGGAAGGCGGAGAAGAGAGTGGGCCTAGCACAGTGGACTGGGAGTGGTCAGAAGTGGGACCAGCCTACTGAGGAGGGAGGGTTGATAAACCAGGAAGCATCAGATTAGGAATGTAATGCAGGAAGCAGGTGATGTAGGATTTGAATTCAACAGAGGCTTTACCACAGGTTCACAATCAAGAGAGTGGAGTGACGATCCACATGAGTTTTATGTCAGACTGTTTTCCAGGCTTTGTGTGGGAAATCTGAGGGAGTAGAGGAAGGTCCGTGGCAAAGCTCCAGACACGACATTGTTGCCAAAAGGGACGGGCTACAAGGACACAAAGTGATGACTCCCTGTTACGGAATGAGAGGTGAAGAGGGAGGGGCTAAAGAGGACTTCAATCTCCGAGCCCCAGGAACTAACTGGAGGGCACCAATCTTGCCGCAGAAGATGGGAACAGGGGAGGAGGCGAAGGGGAAACAATACTGGTTCTTCAAGAAGATGGAAGTGATACTTTGAAACTTAGTGGTTCTTCCAAGATGAGAATTCTAGAAAGAAAACAAGATTTTTTTTTCCCACTCAGTGACAATTAGATGGAACCACTGGACAATAAGAGGATCTGTTCGATATGGACTCACTCTAAAGACATCTCAACCACTCAACACAGGTATGTCATCGAGGGAAGCCTCCTATAGACTTTATTTGCTGCCAAGAGATTTATATGGATATTATTTTGACTCTTGTTCTTTCTTTGGGATGGGGGTGTTGTTTGAAAAATTAAACAAATGATGAAGAATCCTGAATAACTGTGCAAGTAAGACCTGAGCTAAATTCCTTCTATAACATATTCTCATAATCTCAAGAAACCATTCTAAGTTTTAGGGGCACCTGGGTGGCTCAGTTGGTTAAGAGACTGACTTTGGCTCAGGTCATGATCTCATGGTTTGTGTGTTCGAGCCCTGCATGGGGCCCTGTGCTGAACATTTGCTCAGAGCCTGGAGTCTGCCTCAGATTCTGTGTCTCCTTCTCTCTCTGCCCTTCTTCTGTTGGCACTCTGTCTCACTCTGTCTCTCAAAAATAAATACATGTAAAGAAACCATTCTAAGTTTTAGGCAGGGAAGACAAATGTGAAGTTCTAGTATCTGGTTTTTGTTAAGTTAGCAGAGTTAGCTATGAGTGTAGGTGTGATACTCCAGAAACCCTCCTGCCCACTGCCCTTTGGTATTTGGATAGGAGCAGCCATGTTGTATATCATGTGACCTAGTCCTCCAGCGCCCACCCCCCTCTGCAACACAGCCCATGGGAACCTGGTGAATGAGCTGACACAAAATCAGTCAATCCATGGCCAGAAATCCAGGAAGTTTGGAAAAACAAAACAAAACAAAAAAACCCTCTATCCAGAGATGATGGTGATTAAGTAAACTAATCTTTCTCTTGGCAATTTCCCTCCTTAGAAACTCAAAGAGCCCCACCTAGAACAGAAATATCTCTCTCACTCTAAAGTTCATATGTACCTTTCCGTACTCTGCGGCCGCTGAGCCAGAAGCTCTATACTTACTTGACCTACTAACTAAGGTCCCTAGACCAGCATCACCAGCACTTTAACTGGTGTTGACTGGAGGAGCCTCACCAGAGCCTGACAACGAGAGCCTGGGGCCAGATTTGAGGAGCTCTTACCGCTTTCTCTACAACACTGAATACAGTTGGGGCTTCAGGAGCATGCAAAAGAGATGACCATGATATCTCATCACCCATTACCAATGTGTACTTAAGAACACTGGCCACACCCTTTCCCTCCTGAGTGTTCCCCCCATCAGTCCTCCATCAGGGGTGAGCTCTCGTCCTGAGTGTCCCCAAAGAGAAAGACTCTGATATATCAAATTCAAAAGAGGAATTAACGGTTGTCCTGTGGCCGTTTTATGTAGGACTATAAAGAGGCCTGCTGCCATCTGCCAATCACCGGAGATGCAACTTCTCTAATTGATAGGTCCACATACAGCTCTTTCCAATTATCACAGGTATAATTTATGGGTCTTGCTGTCAGTCAGAGCAATAACTTTTCCCTCAAAAAGCAGAAAACCCTGCAATGGTCACCTTTTGTCTAGCTTTTCAGCCATTAGAGAATCTATTTCAACTATCTTCACAGGCTTGATGGGTGATTTGACTGGTTTGCACTAAACGTCAGGTCTCTGATGCTGCAGTATTAAAAAAAGAAACCCTTCATCCAGCCCACTGGGAGTGCAAAGTGTCTTTCTTGATTCAGATGTTTGCCTTTCTACAATTGCAATCAGTCTCTGTGTGCTATGTGGTTGTGACAGTTACAAGATGGGATCCCCACCGAGCAGCTCTGAGATTTGTCAGGAAACAGGCTTCACACACACCCTGTTTGGTTGACCAGGGCGAGCTTCTAAAATATCAAAGGATAATCCATACCTTTCTTCAGTGACCAAATTATTAAGAGTATGGAATGCAAATCAAAACCCCAATGAGATACCGCTTTGCACCCATTAGGATGGCTATTTAAAAAAAAAAAAGAAAATAAAAAAATAACCAGTGTTGGCAAGGGAAAAGGAAATTGGAGCCCCCATTTATTGCTGGTGGGATTGTGAAATGGTTCAGCCAATGTGGGAAACAGTTTGGGAGTTCCTCAAAAAGTTAAACATAGAGCTATGGGATAATCTGTATACTCATAGGTACATACTGAAAAAAAATTGAAAGGAGGAACTCAGATAGCTATTTCTAATTTTTTTAATGTTTATTTATTTTTGAATGAGAAACAGATCATGAGTCGGGGAGGGGCAGAAAAAAGGCAGAAACACAGAATCCGAAGCAGGCTCTACACTCTGAGCTGTTAGCACAGAGCCAGACGTGTGGCTTCAACCCATGAGCTGTAAGATCATGACCTGAGCCAAAGTCCGATGCTCAACCAACTGAGCCACTCAGACAGCTATTTCTGCACCAGTGTTCCTAGCACCTTATTCATGATTGCTAAAAGGTGGAACAATCTGTGCACATCAGTAGATGAGTGGATAAACAAGATGTGGTCTCAACACCCAATGGACTATTATTCAGCCGTAAAAAGGAATGAAATTCTGGCACATGCTCCAACGTGGAATCTTGAAAACTTTATGCAAAGTGAAATGAGCCAGTCACAGAATGAGAAGTGTTTAGGAGTCCACTTCTGTAAAGCATCTAGATTAGGTACATTTAAAGACAGGAAATAGAATAGAGGGTATCAGATGCTGAATGGAATGATGAGTGGGGAATTTAATAGGTATAGGGTTCAGGGTGATGAAGAAGCTCTGGAAACGGACAGAGGTGGTGGTAGTATACCAACGTGAATGTACTTAAAGCTACTGAATTGTAACGCTTAACAAGAAATGTACATTTTTTTTGTTCAATTCCCTGCCGAGGGCAGCTCGATTCCACACACCATCTTCTACTCAGGGTTTGTGAAAGAAGCCACACCCCAGGCGTCACCTTGTCACAGAGAAGACTAGAAGCCCTGACTCAGGGAGGCAGTTTTCACTGGACAATTCCGGCTGGCTTGCAGCAGCCTTGTTACTATGCTCTGCAATTCCAAATGTCTTCTTAGATTTTTCCAAGTTCAATCAAATACATGTCCATTTATTTGCCTGCCTTTCTGGGCAAGCAAGTTCTGCTGGGGAATGTGCCTTCTCCCCTCCCTGAGAAACCCTTTTGAGATGAATAAAACATGGACCTGAGCAATTCAGCCTTCCCAGCTGGTCCTCACCAGTTTATAGTGTGTCTTTTGTTCCTTTCTACCCTTGACAAGCCTGATGGCTTTGGTCTCATGCTGACTTCTATTACTGTGGAGTTGAGGATAATAGGCCTTTGCTCGGTCCCATCTAATAGAGACTCTGGTGATTCACAATGCCATGTTGCCCAGGACCACATGTGTGTCCTTATATTGTCCTAAGTGCACGCAGATAGCCCTTCAACAACTACACTGCAAAATTCAAGAAGGGTTAGCTGGACAGCCCTGGGATGCATTCCCTACTGAAACGTGAACCTCTGCTTCCACATCTGGCTGCGTGAAACTCAGCTCAGGCTGCGGTTGCTGCAGTCAACGAACACCTGTACAGAGTAGCTCTTTTGACAGAATCAAAGCATTGGCATCCTATCTCTAGAAATGAGAGCTCTGTCAGATTTCTGGGTAGGCACCCAGTGCTCCAAAAGTCCTGTTTGAACCATATTTATAAATTAGAAGTGAAACCACATACGCTCCCGGAAGCGTCAGGCTAACTCCATTTGTCATCTCAGTCGAGAAGATTCAGAACAAATGGCAATGCTTGGGACTAAGTGTTATAATATAATGAGGACACAGTGGTGGCAGGGTGTGGAGAACAGGGCAGACCCACGGGCATGACAGCTACTTTGCTTCCTACCCCAATTCTTCCAAGGGACTTGTTCCCCCTTTAGTAGACATTAGTAAAGCGAAAACACAAATTGCCCTAATTTTGAGTGCCTTTCCCCCCACCTCCTACCCACTTCAGATTTTTCCACTGGGCTGCTCCATCATCTGATGGCATGATTCTGACAAGCCGGCATCTGCCAGTGTCTGGTGTCTGGCATTTCTTATATGACACTGGCTTCATTTTATGCAAGCGTTTTATCCAGAATGAATATAAGCTCCTAGACAGGGTAGGGGTACAGCTTCACTTCAAAAATCCAATGAAGTCGTAGCAAACCTTGGGTACTCTACCTCCTCAGCTGGCCCCTTAGCTCAATTATTATATAACAACTACTCAGTGTCATCGGTCCTGACAGGAATGTGAAATCAATTAAGCCATTCCAGGGAGTTGAGATAAAGCTGTGTGAAATGACACCAGACTAGCAGGTCTAATGAGAAGAGCATGTTGTTCCTCAAGAATCCTACTAAAAACACACTGAAAGCAACACATAACATAGTCTGTTAGATGTGGACTTTTTCAGACTTGCGGAGAGGGGACCATGATTGCATTATGTCTTCCATTTCCAAAGCACATTTATTTCCTTCAGAGATTAAGGCAACTCTGACCCAGTCCACACTGGATTCCAAGACCTTTCTCACCAGGGAAGAATATGGTGGTGCCTAGATGTCTATATAGAGTTCCCCGTTTGTGCAACCAGAATTTAAATAAAGCAATTAAAGCCTTCAAGAGCTAGTCTGATGTGAGAAATGGAAAGGGGGTGATGTCTGTCTTCCAAGAATAAGCAGGTTTTGCTTCACATATGAGAATCATCATGCATTGGGATGTGATGGATACAGTAAAGGGAATGGGAGGCATGCCATGGGTAACACATGCTCTATGACCTTCCTCCCCCACAACCCTGCTGGAGGATTCCACACCCTTTTTGGATTCCTCATCCACGTGGGGATCACTGGCAGCTGGAGGTGAGCACACAGCTGCAGATCTTGTCTTTCCCTGGAAGCCATTGCCGTGGTGTGTTTGGGCAGATACAGAGTCACGCATACCACCACTATCCCTGCCATGACCTGCTCATACGTGAAGTGAAAGACTCTCCACCTGGGTATGTAGGAAAGCCAGGCCCAGATAGCCAGGCTTACTCCTCTGCATATTTAGGCCAGAGAATTTGGCCAGAGATCCATTGGAGTATTTAACCTTGAAATCACTGGAACTTTGAGTGGGCTTATAATATAGT